AGGCTTAGTGTCCCCAGGAAACGCATCAGTGACATTGCGACGACCAGTGCCTCCCGCAACCAGGACTGACAACCTGGCGAGGGCAGGCGGCTCCTACGACATGGGTGTTTGTCCACGAGTTCGTCGACCTGTACAAGAAATAGCCACCTAGACAGTTCAGCAGGAGATCAACAACACAAGTTCGCAAGAGCAACCAAGCAAACAGCACCTCACGAAGCACATTGTCACAATCCAGTTGGCGGCCGCCTATACACCTCCCCGAAATCGAGGAAGCAAACAACACTTCACGAACGGGCTGACGAGCGGGAAGAAAGCAGAGAAAGTCAGTGCTTACCAGGCCTAGCTACCACTTCACCAGAGCCCACCGATGGCAGTCCCAGCACGATTGGCACACCTGCGCGCGTCGACGAGGCAACGACGTGCTCCAAACCCACAGGGAAACTTGACAGGCTCGAGATGTCGGCGTCGATGACCGTAGACGGTATATTCGTCTCCGGACAAAGATCGTCGACGTCCACAACATCGGCAGGTTGTGTTTTCTCCATTGCCACTGTGTCGTATTGTGTTGGGCTCAATGTCCCATGGATGTCCAACAACACCTCTCCCCCCCTTAACTTCTTGTCCCCGTACGCTGTGTCTTTGTCGTCGTCACTCAAATAGAGAAATCTATCTCCAACAGCGTCAGAGGCCTTCTTCAGATCGTCCTCCCCCGTCGCCTCGTTGTGAAGGGCGGAGTACAAGGGATCGTCGTATCCCGGCTGAACTGGTAGCTCCATCCCGACGTCCTTGAGTGTCGGATCAACCCGGTGGTCGGCGGAATTGTCCTTGTCCAAAGTCGTCAGTAGTCGACAACCCTCAACGCCTGCCAGTTGAAGTCCTTCGTCCGTGTGCCTCGGATGAATCCGAATCACGGTCGTCTCCAAAGATGCATCAGGGAGGGAGATGTTCACAAGGCCCTGGTTCGGATTCATCCGAGCTCCCGCAGTTTCCAATGACGCCGACATGACCGCTTTCACCGGGGAGTCGCTTACGACTGCTAACTCGGCTCCGAGTCTGTTGGGCTCGACATTGGAACTGGTCGCAAACTCACCCTCAGTCCAACAGCCCGCCTGCAGCTCCTTGTGGGCTTCCACGCACATCATTACTGCATCTTGACACCGATCGTCTGTCATGGCAGACACGGCTTCCTGGTTCGGATGAATCCGAATTCCGTCGCCAGGGTTTTCGGAAACCCGGACCACCCGTTCGAGTTCTGTAGACAGTTGTGCTCCCTCGATGGCAGAGCCTTCGCGGTTCGGATTAATCCGAAATTCCTTTTGAGGCGAAACGGAACACGGTTCCAGCTTGTCGCTGCCGGACCCGTGGTATGTTGTCGTCTCGCTTTCCGGAAGGCATTGAGTTCCGGACAACGAGGTCGTCTCCGAGGTTCGGATTGATCCGAGACAATCCGCCAACTGTTTTTGGAGCTGAGCAAAGCATGTTCCATGCTTTGCCTCACCCGCCCTGCCAACCGCATCGACAAACTGTGTTTCGCTGGTGGAGCTAATCACAGGGTCCTGCTCACCGGGCCGCGTAATACACCCAGGCCTCAAGTCGTTCCCCGTCTCCTCTGTGATGCTTTGTCTTCTCTCCGCTGCGAGGCTTCTTCTTCTCCCGGCTGCCCTTTTTCCCCTCTCCGCCGCCTGCGTGCCCCGGAGACCGCTGTTTCGTCGAACGTTGTTCACTTCCACCTCCGGTACCTCGTTGCCCGCCGCCTTCACCATCCCCGTCGCCGTCCTTTCTGTGAGACTTGCGCTTCACAACTCCTGCCGGCGGGGTGACCCCAGGCAACTCCCAACTCACTTGCTTAATTGACGGGCTTGACGGAAGGGCGTAGAACGCGGAGGACACTTCCAACCATTTATTTGACTGCAAGAACTCGAACAGCATGTCCCCATATTCGCGAAGAGCATGGTCGTCCTTATTTCGTCGATTGACCTCACTTAATCTCTCAAATACCGCCTCGTAGGCGCGAGATTTGAATGTCTCGAGGTCCCAACGATCGTCATATATCCACCCTCCACTTACGTCCCTCACAGCCACTGCCCATTCGCTGTCGAGAAGGACTGGCTGGAAATGGTCCGGGTGCCACACGATATCATAGCCCCAATCTTCAGCTGTGGAGAAGGTGTGTTTGTCGCCCATGTGGAAGGGAGTCGCAGGAGCCTTGAGATGCGGATGGTCCGGAGGAACTGGATGGCCGGGTCAAAGACGTTCGGGCTGCGGCGTGAGACGAATAGGCTCCCCTGGCGAACTCCTCAGACGGGACAACCCACCCCTCTTGACAGGCACTGAGGAGAACACGGGCGTGGGACCGCCCGAGGTAGGTGTAGCGAGAGGTGTCCCCGGTTTGCATACTGATGGCGACTCGAAAATTTGGGCGTTGAAGATGGCCAATTCTCCGTCCAAATCGAAGAGGTTGTCCTCAACGCTCTCCTCCTGCTCAGTCTCGATATTGAAGTCGTCCTCCTCACCGAATGCCAGCTTCAAGTTGCACTTATCCAAAGTGAGGTCGGCCGGATCAACAACATCCTCGTTAAAAAAGACATATTCCAGCCTCTTAATGAAGCTCACAGCGCCAGCCCGACTCGCTCCGTGGTAGCCCTGGAGGACCTGCGGGTCAAATCTCAACCTTGGTTGTTCGTCGGAAAGGAAGGAGTAGACCTGGCGCCTTTTCTTCGGAGTCAACTTGAAGAACATGTCCTTGTTCGGGTCATAAACGGGCTCGACCACGACATGGTGGAAATCACATRGGWAAGCCTTGGAYRRCACTTCATGGGTGACATACTGCACGGTGTATTCGAGCTGCGTTGTGTCCCCATCCACGGCCAAGACGTACCTTCCCTGCTGAAGCAGACTCCACACCACCTGCGCGTGCGGCTTGCCCAAGAACAGCACGGCATCCGCCACACCACAGAAGAAAAGAAGCTGATTGCACAACTGATTCGGATTCCGCTCGCCGTCCTTGTACAGAGCCCCCCTCTGGGTCAGGTTTCCGATGTCCGCGAAAGTCAAAGACTTGAAAGACTTCTCCTCCACATCCGTGGGTGTCACTTTCTGTTTCCTTCGGAGAGCGGCGGCGGCGTCTTCAGCAACATCTCCCTCGTACACCGGGTGAGTCAGTAGCCAAGGATCCTCGCCTTTGAAAAGGATGTGCATCACATCCGGCTCCTCCCAGATGTTGTTTCCGAACTGATGCGTCTTCTTCGATGTCGTCTTCCGAACCCACTTCTCCGTGTAGCATCGGGTAGCCCCAAGCGCAGACAAACATGTCATGAAGGAGAGGTTCCACAGGCAGGGGACGAATACCACCAATGTTCAGTAGTCCTGACAAACGAAGCCCAGCAACTCACTCAGAGACGCGAATGCCCCAGAGTCCCATTGCGCACAGTCAACAGTTCCGCACAAGTCGAGCACGCAAGTGTGGGAGCGTAGCTGATGATTTCCCAGCGCGGCCTTATGATCTATGGCAGTCAATGGGTCGACGTTAAACTGGGCCAGCGTCGTCAAGGCGCTTGTCCTTGTCCACATAATGTTGATGCATTAATCAACGCCCCGAGGGTTTTTTTTGCCTTTGGCGCGATCTCCAGTGATCACCGAAAGGACGACACGCTTCCACTCCGCCGGGAAATGCTGGTCGTTGATGAGGGCCACCATTCTCGTGATGTTGTTGTCGTGATGACACCCGAGAAACTGAGGGCACTTGTTGACGTATGTGGTGTCCATGAAAAATTTCCTACTCTCGTTCCAAAGCTTGTCGTCGAGACCTCTGTCCTTGAACTCTTCGAACAGTTGCTTCTTGGACCTGAAGAACGTGGAGTTGGCATTCCACTCCCGCTTATCCATTTCCTCGTACTCGAACTCCACGTAGTGCCACAACCTCAGCATAATCCGGTCCATTTTTATTATGTCGACCATCTCCTTGACACTGAACTTCCCCTGCTCGACCAACTTTTTGCTA